GATCTGCGAATCTTGCGCGAAGGAGGCGATGGTCGGATCCCGTGTAGAACTTAGGGACAACAGCGACATCGATCAGGCAAAACCTTCGATTGCAGATGATGTGGTCGATCTCGTTATGGAATTGTCCACCAGGAGACTCCCATGTCCAGCGTAGAGAGTAGGGCTTCTGGAACTGCGAGTTACCATGGATGGTGTGGGTCGACATGATAAACTCAGACAGCCTTTCACTCATATCCACTCCGTTCCGTGAGTTCCGATGTGAAGTTCTTCGGCCGTTCTTCTTGGTCCGATCTTAGCGTTGAAATCACCGACGATGACCTTGAAGAAGGTATGATCTTCCTTGTAGAACTTCTCCAATTCCATATAGAACGCTTCGAGCTCATCCTCGTCGTAGCTTGATGTTGGTGCGTAGGCGACGAAGATTGTCAAAGCTGGAGTTGAACCACATCTTCTCAATCGAACGGTCCGTGATCGGTCGTCAGACTTGTGTGATAGAATCGAATGTTATGGCCAAGTGCGTGTTTGAACGGAGGACGCCCACACCGCCAACTGCTCTGCTGTCGCATCCAAACAGTCTGTACACGCGTTGTAGCGGCGTATGCTCCTCGTCCTCGTCAGTCCGATGAAGTCGCACTTGATTCTTCGGCTGCTTGTCAACACTCAGATCTTCGATGTGAGGCTTCCGACTGTCAAGCTCGTGGCGTTGAAAGTACAGATCGTAATCCTATGTCCTGGGCGACTCAATCTCCGATGTGAGCCTACCCCCGTGATTTTGCAGCCTCGTCGGACAGCGGTCCCGAGCCGAACGTCGGCCTGGTTCCCTCAGCTTCAGGGGAATGAGGCCCATAGTTGTTACTGTTTTCGGCGAGAAGAAAATTAACCACGCGTAGCTCGCCAGGCTCTGACGTGGCACCCTCCGCATTGGTACGTTTTTGGAACAGTCCAAAACCGTTCACCCCACCCAATGCCGCGGCCGCCAACGATGAGGCTTGCGGATAGGATTTGTGGGGGTCAGAAAGCGTATGTTGCTCGAAACTTTCAACCACGCTGTCACAGAGATGATGGCTTCCTCTGAGTCCGGAAATCGCGACCACACTTTGAAGCATCGACTGGTGTTTTACGTGACAGCCCGTGTCTGGAATGAGTGTGAACCTCTTTTTTTATCAGAGCTCCTTCATATCTTTGGCAACATGAGCTTCATGTCACCATAGCCTTCCTCTCCCCGTGCCTTACTAACGAAGCGCCCACACCCCTCATCAGTCACAGTCATCTCTGAGAACCTCGAAAGAACTTTCAGTGTTCCCCATTGGCGCTGCATTTAGTATTTCCAAAAGCATACCTTATCGCCCATTTAAAACCCTTTCTCATATCATACTACCGCCGCCCGGGAATTTCCTGTACGCGTTGTTCTTTGAGGAGGACCACAGATTCCCTCCTAAACCTTTTGATTCATATCAGCACAGCGACAAAACGTTGGTTGCCACCGGTACAGGGGGGGGGGACAAAAAAAAACTTTTCCTCCTCCACTTTCGAGGCGAATAAGTTACACATCATCGAATTCTCATTGGACATTTCCACCATCAAATTCAACAACACATTGTACACGATCACGAAACTCCGCCACAGCCTTCTGGACGCCATCGAGAGATTCTGCCACGCGACCGTGATTCGGTGCCTGAGTTCAGCGAGGTCGTTGATTTCTCCGCCACTGTAGACCACCCTGTTGAGCTCCGCCCGAACCCGGTAATGAGGGGGTTCCATACAGATGACACTTGGATATTCAGATACTCAACGCCTTTCGATTCCAAGTAGGCGAGAGTTTTTCCAACGCCCTTCAATTCCATGTGCTGGCACCCAATCCTGTAGCAGTACGAACTTTCCAAACGGTACAGGCGACGACATGAAGGCAGGATATTCTCCTCGAGCTGTTCGATGTAACCGTCAGCGTTCACTTTCAGTCCGGGGTCCACGAAGAAAATATCGGTCTTCCCATTCCAGGCTTTTCCGGTCCATACCATCAACCCGCGCCTTGGCGACTGTGGTGAAGATGATAGTGCTGGACCACAATGTGTCGGAGCTGCTCGATGTTAGGTCTTCCAGATCGAGAGTACTGGTCTCCAGGTAGCTATCCATGGGTGACTCCATACTAGAAGTTTCGCAGCTGTTTGGAGGTGACATGAATTCCAAAGGTCTTCTCCAGTCAGGCTGCGACTGGAGATGACCATTTGGTGTACATGAAGGTGATGGGCGAGGCCAGCTCCTGCTTATCGAGGAACATCTTGGGTATCTTCCGCCCTGGTACTCGTATCCACGTCTTCTGTCTGGGCTGCAAACTTTACTGATATGTGACTCGGCCAAAGTGTCTTTTTTTGCCCCCCCCCCTCCCCCGGTAGACATCTGGCTGCATCTCGTTAGTCCTGAACCCTACATCAGAGTGATCGTTCACAGGGACACACTGTCTACCATGCATAACAGTGTCTACCATAAATTAAGTCGGTGAAAAGTCTTGTCAAGGTTTCTTTTTCGAAAGTTCATGTATTTGAAATTCTTGTCTCATCATCATGGAGGGCCACGGCGACCATCTCTCATTCTGCCCATCTATTTCTTGAAGGCAGTTGGCCACGATAAATCCCCAAGACGAGTAGGATTAATACGCCTGGCAGGACGGAATTCCGCGACCCTGAGCAGGCGCTGCATAATGCCTTTTCCAAGGAAGGTGCCCTTATAAGGGCCCTATCAAGCCACAACATACCGACCCAAACGCCCGCCCGCCCACAAATGGACGACCGTTCCTGACGCTCTAATCGATTCATTTGCTAAGCAAATTATGAAGCGAAGGGATTGGTATGAAGCGGCCGTGATGCTGCATGGATATATGAGTACACATATGCAGCCGTACCTTCGGTAGCGGTTATTGGCAAGATGCCTACAGGAAACTCGTCCAAAATTGATTTCTAACACATTGAGAACGGAGGCTCTTTCTTCGCAGGATTTTGACCGTTTCACTCCGTTCTCGCCATTTCCTCACTATAGCGCCCTGCTAGCATTAATAGCATTATAGCGCCTTACTGCAGATTCTTTGACATCTAACTACTGGATGTTAACTAGCACAAGCAAGCTAAATCAGCCATGTCCCCTAATGACACCCTACTCTGCTTTTTTCTGGGATTCGAGAGGAATGCTATACCATACCCAGCTCTCACAGGACGCATGGTCAGTCATTTGCACACATCAAACTATAGAAAGTAGCCAAAGCTGTTCAAGAAAAAGTGGCTGAGACGAACTCCCGTGACTTAGACGAAATTGGGCGCAGTATTTGCCCACTCTATCGAAAATCAGTCCAAGTCTCGATCGAAGTTTTCCTTGTGGACAGTTGCGAGTGAAATTGTGACTCTGTGGTATATTGACCCACTGAACACGAGCATCCCTCGATTGGCTCGAAACCGCCCGGCAATCGCGCCGGGTGCCGACAGCAAAACAACTCGAACCACCAAATTTGTTGAAAACTGTCCGCCGGGGGGGGGATGTTTAACTTTCTGAACACGAATACATAGAAGGTGAGAGTGAAAACGCTTGGTACGTGCGCCATGGGCACTGGCGCCAAAATACCTGGGACGCTGGCGCCGGTGGCGCCGAAATAGGGCGCATTCGTTGTAAACGGCGTAATATTCGTATTTAGAATGCCAATTTACCCTGGAGTACCACATTTTGGGGAAATCTACCCTGCAAGAAGAATTTTGATCGGATTGTAGCCCAGCCTCCCCATTTCTGGAAGGAGGGAATTGCCTACCTGGTCATCAGATGGGGATTGATGACTGTAAAGTGGTGTTTGTGTTAGTAATCAATCCACATTGTGTACTTCATTGAAAAGTGATGAGGAAATTGGGATAGCACTGGCAGGAGTTTCTTACGGACCCGATATGTCTGCTCTTTGAGACTTACTTCACTAAAGGCCGAGAAACTACTCCCTTTGGCCAACAAGAGAAGGGCGACCCTTCAAAGCATGTCTCTTGAAATTTTTTGGAAGAAACTGTCCACCATAGTACATATTCTTTGGAAACCAAGATTTTTTTTGTTTTCCACTGCTTACTGTTGTCGCAATCATCATGTTGAAGCTGTCTGCAGCTATTGTAAACATTGGTGCTCCCCATTTTTTGATATGGGTACCTTCATATCAATCCATTCTATTTGGAGGTATGGCTCCATATTCGGTAATGATCACTGGTGCCAATCGAGGCATTGGTCTCGGTCTTGTGAAGGAGTTTCTGAAGAACAAAGAAATTTCGCACATAATTGCAACAGCTCGTGATCCAGACAGCGCCGAGGTAAGCCGGTATTTCGGTGCCAGTTTGCATCTTCTGAAATTGTTTCACAGCTTCACCTACAAATATTTGCACCAAATAAAAAAGGTATTGCATGTAGGAGATCTTGTATTCAGTCTCACTTCAGTTATCCTTTGTACCCTTTCATGGCTGCAACAAAATCTACGACAGGCTTTGCCGTTGCTGAAAGAGTCGGTTCCTTTGTGCAGTCTGTCAGCTGCTATACCCAATGCGTGCTTAGGCCCAGCAGAGGCTCTCATCACCTCGTACGGTTACGACATGATAAATGTAGACGTGCTGCAATCCGCCCTGTTTCTACCTCGCTAAGTAAGACTATTTCACACTTCGCGCGACCTTACAGCTCTCAAGGAATTCTTAATCGTGATCGAATCACGAAGAATAAATGGGAAGTGGTCATATGCAACAGTAAAGAAATTTTCCAAAATATGGGCAGCTAGTAGTGTTTCTTTAGCATCAACGGATGACCTGGCAATTTTCAAGCGTCCGTCGAGTGGACCCCTTCCGAGCCAGTTGGCAGTTAGTACTCGGCATTTTGGGTGCTCAGAAAAGTAGACTTTTTGCTGTTTCAACTATTGTGTGGGCATCGTTTTAAATCCTTTCCGGTCTGTGGCTGAACTATGGATTAATTTTTGCCTAGGCCAACTCAGCATATTAGCCTTTTGAGATAGATGGGTTTGTAGAAAACTCGCCTGGGAGGAAAATTCGAATTGTTCATTGACTAAGTCCTGCAAGTTACTGCTTTGATCGAATTGCATTCAAACTAAACTGCGATTCCAAATCAAAATGAGATGCGTGGCGTACCTATTATAGAAAGGGAACAGCCGGCAGATCGCCCTTCATTGAAGGGCTTGGTTCTTTCAACATTTAACATTTATGGCTGGCTTTTTCAGCGAATCATACAAATCATTCACGAACCCGCTATGAAGTTTCTTTGCGGCTCGCAGACACATGTGTAATCAGCAACAATAAAATATGCCCATTCATAAAAAGTGCTTTCATCCGAAATGCGATACGATCGTCCCACTTGCCAAAAAGATGCCATTCGGCACTATAGCCGTCAACAGATGAGGAGAATCATTGGAACTGACTGTCTCTATTTTCAGCATTTGAGGGAGATAAGCGATCCTCGGCTGAGCATTGTGAAACTGAACGTCACCTGTGATGAGTCTATTAGGCACGCTTACACAGAGGTACAGCTCTTGAAATTACTCTTAACTACTCTGTACTTTGCTTATTGACAGGTGGAGAAGATCGTTGGTGATAAAGGGCTCACTATACTGCTGAACAATGCAGGCGTCTTCTTGCCGTATTTTACGAATCAGGAACCGAATCGGGCTGATCTCATCAGAAATTTTGATGTCAACGCAGCGAGCGTAGCCGTTCTGACCCAGGTAGGCTTGTCCATAGTTTCTACAAAAACTCGAATCCTGATTCTTCTGTGCCATTCATCCTAGCTCAGGTGGAACATCGGTCTTCATATTGCAGATCTTCCTACCGCTCCTGCGTAAAGCTGCGCTTCAAGTGTCATCAGAAGAGTTCTCTCCGGACCGTGCAGCAATTCTGAACATTTCATCTGGTGTGGGATCAGTAAGCACGAATACGTCGGGGTCAGGGAAATTTGGATCGCTGGCCTACAGAATGAGCAAGGTGAACATTTTCATGTCAGCGCTGACCTTATGGTATTGAGAATCCCAAGTTTCACATTACAGTCTGCGTTGAATGCGCTTATGAAGACGATGTCTATAGATCTCGAGTCAGAACATATTCTCATTGTCAGTTTCTGCCCCGGATGGGTTAAGACGGACATGGGAGGACCAAACGCAACTATTACGGTAATAGTCTCTTCTGAAGTGCAAAATGAGTTTAGGAGTTGTCATTGTTATTGTTGAGTATGGTCGTTTTTACAGGTCGACGAATCAGCGGAAGCACTGGTTTCTTCATTTGCTAAACTAAACAAAGACCATCACGGTGGCTACTTCAGAAGGACTCTTGAACCTATTCCGTACTGATGTGATATGATTGTTAGATATCTAAATAAAAAGCCGAAAATCATTTTCTAAAAGTGAAATAACATGCGATCGCACAGTGACGTCATCGAAGCAACTACAGTTCTCATCATTGCGGACTGTCAGGGCGGCTGAGACGCGCTGCACTGTGACGCGACAGCGGCTGCGGCTCGGTGACGGGAATCAGCTGATTTCATGG